CGCCCCCGTGTTCGTTCCGCCCCCCCCGCCTCCTCCGCGCCGCTGATTGTGGGTGCGCGCGGTATTCAACGCACTCGCGTCTGTGATCAGCGGCGCCTATCTTGCTCCTCCCGTAATGCTCCTCCGATCCTCGCCCGATAACGCTCCGTCTCCGCAAATAATTTCGCCTTCATTTTCTTCCTTCCGTCCCTGAGCTGAGCAATGACCCGTGGTTGTGCTTTTAGTTCCGTTTCGGTCCATAGATCATAGGCGGATCCAGGAGGGGTGTAGAGGGCGCGAGCCCCCCCCCCCCCCCCCNTCCAGTTTACCCGCAAAAAGGGGGAAGAAAAAAGAAAGAAAGGAGGATGGAAGGAATTGAGGAAAAAAGAAGGAACACTGAAAAAAAACACATTGGATCTAGAGTTCAGACTCTTGAAAACATTGACGAGAAAAAAGACTCTTGATTCGATCGGATTTTTGCTTGAATCAAAACGAAATCCGCTTAAATTAAGAGGCTTGGTTCTTGATTTAAGCTATAGAATCTGATTGAAACAAGAGTACTTTTTCTTGTCGATGTTTTTAAGAGTCTGGACTCTAGATCCAATGTGTTTTTTTTTTTCCAGTGAAGGACGTTTATACTTGGTAATTATTCATGACAAAATTGACTCAAACCGCATATTAGATGCTTTATATTGTGGAAAAGTTTTGGCGGAAGTCCCTCGGAATCCTCCACCACTCCCCACGTATAAAGTGTCTGGATTCGCCTATGCGATGGACTCTGTCTCGCCGGCTCTCGTGAAATTGACATTGAGCTTGTTCAGTAAGTTTTAAATCTACCATTTCCGGAAACTAGAGTGTTCACGCGAAATTCCATGATTTTTCATCAATTTTTTATCATTGGCGAAAAATACGATAACTTCTATACTTAACCTCCGCCTAACCCTATTACATACTTATTTAGATTGTTAGGGCTTTGATATATCGACGGTGAAACTACCAAACCACGTATCTCGGTTTGCAACGTCGCAGACTTCCTGTCATACTTTATTTTTTAAATGAAAAACTACTCAACATCCAGTCTTGAAAATTTCTGTGATTTTTCCTCTTTGTGCGGAGAAAATTCCGTGAAAATTTTAAGGAATGATATTAATTTGGTCTACTTCAAAAAAATAAAATGTGAGCGTAGATTTTTAAACACCGCAAACGAGATACGTGGTTTGGTAGTTTCACCGTCGATATGTAATCTCTGAACAAACTATAAGTGAGCTAAAAGTTTGGTCTTTAGAGCTCTCATTTAAACGCGCGTTGCCAAGAAAATCGAGATGGTAGCATCGGAAAATATCCTTCCTACCGCAAGGGCAATTTCAACCGCAATCCATTGTTCGCGCAGCTGTTTTCAATGCAGGAAAGGGTGCAAGGTGCGAGGTGTTTGCGGAAAGTTTTTTTTTTTTTTTTTAAATCTAATTTTTCCTCGCGACGCGACGGCGCGGCGGGCCTTGCAATTCACACAAATCATACAATAGTTTATAGAAATACACTCCCTATCCCTTCATGTTGAGCTAGGCTTTAGGATTCAAATAAGATGACACTGCAGCAACTTGGGTGACTTCATATTGATGTCCTGCTGTGAAATCGATCCGCTCGCAAATCTCTCTGATTGTAGCCAGTACTTCTTAGCTGAAAAACAAACAGCTGAATAGTGACGGGAGACGTGAATAGTCTATATATGTTAAAACTACAGAAAGTAAAGTTTGTAATGTCAGAATAAACTCTAGACAAATTTTCTCTAACCTTTGCTAAAACATGCTTGAGCAAAGCAATGACTCAAATATAATGAACGCGTCACCAAGGATAAATGCGATAATTGATCGGATTTTGAGACCAGACGTTGACCGGCTGACCGATGCAAATCGTATCGTCTAGTTGTCAATCGCGCTATTTTAGATCTTGTCCGGGCTCCTCATTATCTGTTCCCATTACAATTTGAGTATATCTAGAAAGCAGAGGGCATTCCTACTCATGTCGTTGATAAGAAAATCAGTGACAAAAAGAGGGCTTTCTAACGGCAACGCTGAATACCGACAAGCTAAAGGAAGAAACCGGGAATCGCTCGTGTACTCTCGATTCTAGGCTGGATGGTAGAAAGAGCAAGAAATCGAAGCCGAAATCTTGATAAATGAAGCGCGAGCTTTAAATTAGCAGGAATAAAGCGGACGCGCTATCCGTATACGTTTGTATTTTATGCGCCGAAGAAGGTTATTACATTTGTTTTACAAATGCAAACGACGCTTTATCGTGGGGTAATCAGAAACCGGCCCGCTCGGGACTGCTTAACCATCCGACCACGATCAGAACCGCACCTTCACACCGTCCCCCGCCCTCCCGCGATCGCCCATCCCTCCTCAGCCACCCACCTTGTCTATCAAGTGTCCGCGATATATCTATTTTATTTACGACTTTGCTACACCTGTGTGTCTTGCGCCTTTCTTCCAGAGGGAGTTTGTACTAATAACCCCTTTTTTTTTTTTTTTTTTTTTTNTTTTTTTTTTTTTTTTTTTTTTTTTTTTTTTTTTTTTTTTTTTTTTTTTTTTTTTTTATCAAATTTGACCAAACTTTACTGGAGGAAAAACTCCGGCCGTGAAAGCCGCACTTACAGGCTATATAGCCATAGCGTCCACGTTCCGGACTCAGAGGCCGGAAGTTCCACCCAGAGCAGTCAATTTTACGGCTCCGGTACACAGTGGATCGACCCAATCAGAGAGGTCGGACATGAAATTTTTAACAAAAACGGCGAATTTTGATGTCTAATTTGTCACGTTTTAAATTATTAGGGGTGTTTTTAGGAGAAAATTTCACGAGAAAACCAATGGAACCACTTATATAACCTCAAAGTTTTGCATAAACGGAGTTATAAGTTTTCAAAGTGTCCAAATTTCGTCCGACCTCTCCCAGTGGCTCGATCCACTGTGCGGCAACCGGAACTTTGGCCTCAAAGCCCCAGACGGACGGTATGTCTATACAGCCCTTAACTTTTTTTTCAGTTTCTTTGTCATAATTTAAGATTAGGTTCAACCGACCAAATCGCGATTTAGGTTACTGGTCCCTGTAATCTAACATTCAACGTGATTGGAAAGACTGAAAAATCCTAGGTTTGTGTCTCAGTAAAGCTCCAAGTAATACTTTAAAGCGATTGTACTGTCAATTTTGGCGGTTGACATGGGTGTAACTAGGGGGACCGGGAGGCGGGGAAGCCTGTCCTCCCTCCCCCCCCTTAAAAGTCCTTAAAAGTCGGTTGACTGCCGCGGAGGGTAAATGAGCTGAAGATGACATTATTAATTTGCTCCATGCGTGATTATTTTTAGTCTCTGATCCATCTGGCAACATCGACCTGACCGTAAGATTACCAACAAAATGATGACCGGAGGCTCTTGCGGCGCAGGTGGGCTCCAAAGATGTGATTTTGGGCCGAGAGTATGCAAGTCGATCGGTGTTGAGCCGGCCTTTCACCAGGAAAGAAAAGGATCTTTTTCGGTTTTACGCGCAAAATTAATAACCGTATAATTATTCGCCATTCATGACTGCTGCAATGCGGGATTGCCAAGTGATTGGTGCTCATATTTCATGCACCGGTGAAACTAAATGTTCGGGGATCTACTCGCACCTGATTCAGAAATTAGTTTTCTATTTTATTGACAATTCAGAAGGATGCCTTCCATCGAGGATGATCAAGTCAAAGCTCTTAAATTTTTCACATGCAAAATCGACATCAATGGAGCACCAATTATTGCACCCAAGCCATAGAGACAACGTCACATTATGTCACATTGCATCCTATTGATTGCCAATTGAGACTTATTAAGATAGCATATTCGTGCTATTTTTTAGTGGGCCACGTATCAAACTAGTACATTAAATTAAAAGTTTCTCAGTTCTCCGCATCTTCAATGTCATTTCACCTTTTCAAATTTCACGCGCATTCAAGGCATTCTACCTGTATTTTTGAATGTTTGAATTCACCTGTATTTTTTTCCGAACTCACAATCAGTCTAATCACTATTCAAACTAATCTCAGTGCACGACGATGTATGTATTGAATTAGCCTAACTTCGTGGTGAATTTTGCAGCCGAGCAAAAGTAGCACATGCATCTCCGTATCGGGCCGTCAATTTGGATGGTATTGAATACGATGCGCCAACACCGCGCAGCGTTTGGCCCTCCATTTCGTTTCTTTTTCGCTTTCTTTCGTTTTCTTTCGTTTCTTCTGCACCTTGGTGAGTTTCTATTAGATTAGATCTCAATTCACATTGGTAACTGCAACACTATGGATAATCTTCGAGATAACCTAGTTATTATAGGATGGCCTCGTGATCATCGTTATAAAACAAGCAAAAAACTTAACCTGAGATGTCAACGTTTTTATTTCTCTTTTTCCTTAAGCTGAGCGCATCTGTTTGTTTTGATCAGATCGTTGCATAACTCTTGCCAAGAGCAATAAAAGTCAATCTCAAAAATGAGATGCAACGAATAAAATCATGAATAAAAAAATTGAAGAAAAAATATTAAATTATGAAACGTTCCCGGATAAAAATCGAAATGCACTTAAATATGAATTTATAGAAATGTATATGAACAATCTTCACTGAACCATAAAATTTTAAGGTTCGAAAGAAGGGAAAAAAGGGAAAAGACAGAATTTCTGTTCTGAGTGAAAAAATATGTAGTCTTGCCTTCTTTTGTGAGAATTGTATGGTATGAATTTTACAGGCTGAGTAAAGAAGCGGAGATCGTGTTTCCTACAAATGTATTAAAGGTGAAATGATGACACAAATTTCTGATCTCTGCATATCCTTTCCGGATGAAAAATGGGGTCTTCATATTTTTGTATCATTTCAGTCTTGGTCGGGTGCTTCGAAATTGAGAATAAAAGGATTGAAAGGTGATCGATTGAGGATATGCATGTATGTGCGCTCAGAAAATACAGATGCAGTTTGCAGCAGACAGTACATCAATCACTAGATACACCGTGAAATATCACACAGCTGTTTCATTGAATCGATTGATCGATTTGATTGACGGATCGAAACCCGTCGGGGAAAGGTTCGCCGAGAAAAGTGACAGTGTCAAAAATGTTTCCCATTTAAATCGCGTTGGTTTCAGAGGTCAATTCTAGTAAGTTTCACATATTTATTTCCTGTCCCTGCCACAGGGACTATCGGCAGAGTGTTAATTCGCCGTTTCCCTGACAAAGGAACTTAACTGCAATCCAAGGTCGTAAAATTGACAAACTTAATCCAATTTCTTACAAAATAGTACCTGTGCAATTTTTGTTCAAAAACGTCCTCATTAATGCATGAGGTCAGTTGAAATATTAGTGAAATTTTCAGGTAGAAATATTCAAGATTTTCCTTGTGAAAATGCAATTTGCGGGGAAAATTTGGCAAAATTTAAATGTAGTTACGTTCTTTCGTGAGGAAAATGACAAATTGTCACTCGCCAAAATGTTTGGCAAATATGCACGCACCGGCATGCAGTGTTTCATCTCTTTAATCAAACATTTTAGTGACGCTGAATAATTACTCCTTGATTAATACTAATATATATTGGATCACAGGCAAGAAGCTATCGTGCCATTTCGCATTTCGACGGTGAAAGACGGCAATCACATAACTCGATTTGCGACGTCGCAGACTTCCTGTCATACTTTATTCTTTAAACGGAAAACTACTCAACGGTAATTCCTTAAAACTGCCGTGATTTTTCTTCTATGTGCGAGGAAATTTCTGCAAAAACTGCAAGGAATCATGTCCATTTGTTCTCCTTTAAAAAAATAACATAGTTGCGGAGATTTTCAGACATCGCAAACGAGTTATGTGATTGCCGACTTGCACCGTCGATTTGTATTTATTTTTTTAGGTGTTGTCAAATCGAAACTTTCAATATGTCAACGTGACTCTGTTGCGGAGGATACAAGACGTGTCGTGGAAACAAAAACCGAGTCTCGCTTTGAGAAAAATAGACACACTCGCAAGAAGTTTCATACTGCTGGAAAGACGGCTATGCAAATTTTAGCGTATGATGGTTTTTCGGCAAAAATAATTTCCTATCCTTTCTGCCGATGAAAAGGTCCCAAAACTCCTGAGAGAAAAAAACCGGTTGTTCCAAGCTTTCTCTCAATGAGAGAATTAAAGTTCATGAGGGATTGCTCTTGTTATTTTTCTTACAAACGAGCATTGTCGTTGCTTAAAATGTCGAATTAATTGTTGTGAATGTGACAAAAGCTATGTATCTCAGCAGGATGATCTTAATTCACAATAAAATGCAAATCATTGCAAATGTAATCTCTTGTTAAACAATTTAGCATGATATCAAAAAGCATCATATTAAAAAAATACACGAGGTGCACATTTAAAAAAGAACCGTCGTTTGCACTGATGCATATCAAAGAGTGTATCCATTGATGACACCATAGCTAAAACATGTTTGAATTATTATTCCAGATTCTACTACCAGATTCCAAAGGTGCCTCCAATATGGTGAAATCATTATCAATCATGAACTTTGCCAAACATATGATCGTGGTGACATTATTGGTTGGAATTGAAACAACGCTCGGTCAGATTGGTGACCCCCATCCTGCTGCTTCCTCTTTCTCCGGATGCAAAATAAAATGGCCCCTAAATGGAGGCTGCTATGCCAAGCTCACTGTCCTCGTTCAAGCGGGCCAGTGTTGGGCCAATGCACGCATCGCCAATCAAAAATCGGCATATTTTGTCCCTGTCCCGCCCACTACCCCTGGTTATAATTCACAAGGGGGCCCATATGGTATATGTACAGGTTGTAATTGGGTCCCGAAACCAGCGGATCTAGTCGCCTCGAACAACCCGGCAGACTTTTGTTTCTTCTGGCACGACGCGGCCCACCCTGTGCCGGCTCCTGGCAAACCGACCATCCCAATGCCGATAATATGTCCCTCCAACTTGAACCCCTGCCCATCGTTGAACTGGTATGAGCCAGGCAACAAATTGGGTATGTACGGAGACTGGAAGTCGGCTTACGAGGGTGTATGGTTCGGCCCTAGGGACAAACCGCCATCATATAAGGCATTGTATTGTAATGGGCTGAATTTGGGATGCGAAACGCTTACGAATCGTGATTTCCAGTTCCCGAGAATAGTCGGCAAGTGTGACGTAACTAAATGCAGGCCCAGATCATAACACCAACTATCAGTCAGAATTCCTAAAGAATCCCACAGTATGATGAAAATTTCAGAGTTTTGAATGACGCTCGTCATAATCCTCCATATTATAATTAGTGCAGAAAAACTACAGAAAATCTGTCATTTCGTTACCACTTGTGTACGTATCGAAACAGTTAAAGTATAAAAAAATATAAAAAATAAAATATACGACAGAATCTATCATAGAGTCAGGATTCGGGATTGACATGCGAGTCGGAAATCTATTCCCGAGAGTATCTTCCATTTTGGGTTGTACACTGACTCGCTTGGACTGTCCTTGGCGTGTATGTGATGAATAATACCTTACCAGTATGTGTTGAAAATAATTGAAAATGTAGAAAAGAAGAAATAACTTGATGATGATCAGAGCATGGCTTTAGAAAAGAAATGCCATGGTTTACTATGTCTTTATCCTTCTTCAATATTCTCAATTGAGTTTTAGAGTATATTTGATGTATCAGTCTGTATATTTCACAAATAAATAAAGAATAATGTACTCATTTTTGTTTCATATTAATTTTTAGTGTGTATATCATAATAAAGCAGATCCGTAAAGAAATTAAATATCGAAGTCATACGAGTTCAGTTGGCAAAAAGACATCTTTCATAAAAGGAACAAAATTAATCAGTCTTGAGCAAAGTAATCATTCTGTGCGACGCATCCCCGTTTGTACACACTGAAAAAAATATCTGTGTATTTACTAAGAAAAAGGTAAAATTACCAATAATTACCATTTATGGGATTGGTAATTTTACCGAGAAATCTCGGTAAAATTATTGAACTTTCTTGGTAATTTTACTAGACCTTGGTAAAAACGCCAATATTTTTTATCGACTGTGGTAGAATTACCGAGATAAAATGGCAAAGTTACCGGGAATTGATTACCAATAAAAGTGGTATTCTTACCTGAAAATAACAGTAAAAATACCGGTTTTTAGGTAAGCTTACCAGTCTGTCTTGGTAAAATTACCAATAATTGGTAAAAAAAAGTGAGATGGTAAAGGTACCAACGGACCTTGATAAAAACGCAGAGAATTTTTTTTCAGTGCAGTACTTTCAGGTTCTGATACGGCTGTGGCCTGACCTCTGGGCTTTTTTTGTAGCGACGAAATTGGCACCTGCATTTGGGTGGAAGAGGGTTCCCAAAATAACAGAAGTGGGGTCTGGGGAGCATCGCTCAGAAAAGTTTTGAGTTTTAAACAGTATCGAATGTGAAAAAGAGGAAACAGATCTGCATTAGTATGAAAAATAAAATATAACAAATATAAAACAATTTAAGCTTTACTGAAGGAAAATCTTCCCAAATCTCAGATTCCATCTTTAAGTGTCTTTTACAAAGCCTGATTTAGACTATTCAGCGTCACAAACTATGATGATTCTTTCAACTCAATCTGTCGCCTCTCTCACAAAATTTTCGACCTAGGAATAATTGAATGTGCCAAAAGTAAAATCGATAGATACAAAAACGAGCTATCTTCTTCAAAGTATTTATGGAAAAAAGAAATATTGGTATTTACTAAATTTCTGATTTGTTATGATTCCCAACAAATCTAGCGCTGCTTACTAGAATCAGGAATCTAGCAGCTACTAATATTTTTATCTCATCAATCGATAAATACAAAAACGAGCTATCTCCGCAAAAGTATATGGAAAAAAGGAATGCTAGTACTTACTAGGTTCCTGATTATTTATGATTTCCAGAAAATCTAGCATTGTTTACTAGAATCAAGAATTTAGTAACTACTAAGAATTTTGTCTTATCCATTTAGCCTATGTTCAGACAGAGTGTACTTTCAGAGCTGTAAGGAGTCTGGAAGCAAAGTTGAAATGTCCGAAGCTCCAGGCAGACATATGCCCGAAATCATCTCAAAATTTTCCCTTTCAAAGACGTAAATTTTTGTTATTTGTGAAAGGAATTGGAGCTAACTTTGCCCGCTCTCTGACCTAAATTTTTACGCACTACCCTCTAGTTTCATATACTATTTTTGACTTCAAATTATTATACAATTCAATCATACTACCAAGATTGGAAAACAAGCAAACCGCTTGTTTGCTGATCCCTCCTCTAATCATTAAACTTAGCTCCCATTCCTACACAGACAATAACAGAAAGTAACCGGCATTTTGTGTTAACTCTGCAAGCAGAACACGTAGTAACATGTCTGTGAAGTTAGCACCCCGACTTTTAAAATTTAAAATTTTCTCTTTTGCTCATCATTGCTCATCATTTGCTCACCTCAAAAATCGCTTTCATTTTTTTTGCTCAGGCATGTACCCCCCAAAAATCGAACTTGAACTTTCAGAGAGGTCATTGACCCTAGCACCCCCACTTCGTCCGATTGACCTGAAAATGGTCTCAAACGACGCAGAATCATTTGATCACCTTTGCTCAGCCCTTAGTTTTCGTTGCTCGACCCTCCATCCCCCCCAAAATGGAAGGCGGCATTTTGGGGGACATCAAAGGCAGCACCCCCACTTTGTCCGATTGAGCTGAAATTGGTGTCAAACGACGCAGGATCATTTGCTCACCTTTGCTCAGCCCTTAGTTTTCGTTCCTGACCTCCCCCTGTCCCCTCAAAATGAATGGCGGCATTTTGGGGGACATCAAAGGCAGCACCCCCACTTTGTCCGATTGAGCTGAAATTGGTGTCAAACGACGCAGGATCATTTGCTCATCTTTGCTCAGCCCTTGGTTTTCGTTCCTGACCTCCCCCTTCCCCCTCAAAATGAATGGCGGCATTTTGGTGCACATCAAAGGCAGCACCCCGACTATGTTCAATCGCCATTCGTTTTCGGGAGGAGGTAGGATTCGGGCAACGGAAACGAAGGCCTGAGCAAAGGTGAGCAAATGATCCTGCGTCGTTTGACACCAATTTCAGCTCAATCGGACAAAGTGGGGGTGCTGCCTTTGATGTCCCCCAAAATGCCGCCTTCCATTTTGGGGGGGATGGAGGGTCGAGCAACGAAAACTAAGGGCTGAGCAAAGGTGATCAAATGATTCTGCGTCGTTTGAGACCATTTTCAGATCAATCGGACGAAGTGGGGGTGCTAGGGTCAATGACCTCTCTGAAAGTTCAAGTTCGATTTTTGGGGGGTACAATGGTACATGCCTGAGCAAAAAAAATGAAAGCGATTTTCGAGGTGAGCAAATGATGAGCAATGATGAGCAAAAGAGAAAATTTTAAATTTTAAAAGTCGGGGTGCTAACTTCACGGACATCGCAGAAACCTAAGCGTGCGGTTAATTAATATTTCTTGTCAGTTTTTCCTTGGATTCATTGACTAAAGCTTTAGGTTAAATGATAAAAACCTAGTTGGGCGTATTTATGCTAAAAGGAACTATGTTGCACGTAAACTCTATTCTTATAGTTCCTTTTAGCATATACGTCCAGTTAAAACTCAGGCGCTAATCGCCGGGATCGAACCTTGATCGCATCAGTGATTGTTCAATGCGCTATAATATCAACTCGCAGGTCGTAACCTCTAGGTGGCATCGGGAAAAAGAGTACATTTCTACATTAGTGGAGCAGGAATATTCCTTCATCCCCATTTGTCTCAGAATAACCTATTGTGTTACCTATTGTGAATAAACTTGTGTGTTTAGATGCCATGCTAAATGAGCAGGTTGGTGCGTCAATTCATGGCTCCTCTACCGTGAGGGCGTATCTCAATTTCCGAGTGATCTCTGTTTCATACATAAATCTATGCGTTTCGGGGCTCAGGCCAAATTCGAGATACACCCTTACGTCAGAGTCGCGACGAGTTATGTGCACTTGCATTATGACGACGAAGATGAGCAAATTTTTATGGTGCTCGTCGGCACCAGTTGCTTTAGGAAAATAAGTGTGAGCGGGTTTGCGGTTTGAGAAGATTTATTTTCGTCCGATGCAACAGTCATCGCTCAAAATATATTTTTTCCGGAAATCTCACAAAGTCACAGTGTGATGTCAATAGTTCAAGGTTTTTTCCTTCTTTGTGTTTTCAGGGTGAGGAAAGAGGAAAACTTTGTAGGATCACATTCAGGCGAATTATTTGCACTTGGCCCGTCGATCATGTGTTGCTGCTGTTCATTTGACAGCTGAGTTGAAGATTACACAGCTGGTTTTTTGCATCCAGTTGGAATAAAGTTTGAAGGGTGATAAATGATTTTATCACTACAACAATGTCTATTGTTCTTCAGACTTGGTGACATAGGCTCTGCGAAATCTGTTCTGGTAAGTTTCACTGAAGAAAATTAAAAAATATTGTAAAGAAATTTTCAAATAAAAAAATTATTTTAAAAAAAAGTTCTTTCAAGAAAAAATGCTCTAAGCAGCATATATTTTGTCGCATTAAAACTGATTTTTGCCTAGATACAAAGCAATAAAACCTACCATATCTTTGAATCACTGTTTCTGATATCAACAGATATGGAATGTAAAAACATCAAAGAAAAGTCTAAGTATGATTCTTGACAATCAATCCGTCCGAAGAAAATATAATATGTTGATAAACAGTAGTTTCAAAAAGATACTCGCCCTCAAAAATCCTTAGTCTCGAGCGGAAAATATGCATTAAGAACTAAGCACTCTCAAATGCAAAAATCACACTGTCGAAGTAAAATACAAAAGTAAACGCTTTCCTGGAAACTACTTGTGCATGGAGTTGACTAAAAATACCCATCACTTATTATAAGATTTCTTAAACAATGTATTTAAAAAAAGATAAGCCCTGATGATCTCTAAAATATTTATCGAGAGTTAACATGTTTTTCAAGTTGGTGATGAAAATTCAAAATCATGGATCCAAGCTTCAGAAATTTTAGATTTCTTGTACCATCTTATTTTTTTCTTGAAAGGGTTACTATTTACCACTTTTGAAAAAAATATTGCACGTTATAGCTTTTCACCTTTGAGGAATATTCTCTAAAAATGTTGCATGTAAATTTATGATCAAATTCTCTTTAAAAAATTAATAAAAAAAATCAAATGACAAAAGAAATACTGGCGCTGAAATATTTGGAATACCGCTAAAGGGTGCTTTCTCAGTATTTTCGCCATCGATAGATAGGTAGCTCTATACAGGATGTAGAATGAAATTCTTAATGCATTTGACAATAAATAGTCATTATAAGCAACCTAGCATGTATGTGAATCTTCATAATTTTTCTAAGAAGCGCAGATTTTTTCCGCCAGTGGAGCGTTTCTGTCATAGAATTCTCATCATAATTAAATGCATCTTACTTTTCACGTCGACTTTACAATCAATAAAAAGTTGAAAGTGGTGTAATGTATTTTTCTTTCTTTCTTTCTTTCTTTCTTTCTCTTACCGAACTCATTTAGAGCGTTGCATTTTGCAAAATCTTAGAAAAAAGAGAAAAAGTATTTGAGTGTATATTTTGTAAAATCACTCAAGCGATCCGCTCTATTTTGTGGCCGCGACTTTCAGAGTTTGTTTTGAGCTTGAAATTCCGTTTCAGAAATAATCAGTGGCCATTATCGTGTTTTTCGCAAAATTTCACAGCAAAGAAACTCCTAAAATCGCAAGGTTACCTGTTATGTGCAAGGTACATTCTACTACAGGTACGGACAAATGGAATTTTAGAAAGTCGTCGAAACGTGTGGATTTGACAGCGTCCAATGGTACGACTGCGACGCCATATTGAAAACTTGTTTACTATCAGTTCTGAGAGCAGGTCTCGTCAATTTGGTATTATTTTTTCGCGTTCTTAGTTAAGTTTTTCGTTAATTTGAGTTTTATCAAATTTTTAAATTCATCTGATAGTTGATTGAAGTTATAAGATCTGCCAGAACCTCATTTTGAACTGCGCGGCAAAGACGGTACGACTTGTGACGTCACTCGATGGCCTATATTCTCAGCGCTGTCACTTCGGCACCCCGTTTGTCCATACCTGTAGTAGCGTTTACCTTGTGTTACGTGTAAAAACTCCCATTGTCTTTCCCTCAGAGGAGGCTTTTGAATGTTTCAGATTAATCTCGACTGAGATGCATCCGAGAACGATCATCCGAGTCATCTTGCCCCTCTTTTTGATACTACTGATGAGGAGTCACTCGATTTCTGGCAAAGATGAAGGCAAAGGTGGTAAAAAAGGTGGTGGCAAAGGCAAAAATGACACCAACCCCGACTCGGGGGGCAAAGGCAAAAATGACACCGACCCCAACTCGGGGGGCAAAGGGGGTCCGAAGGACCTCAGCATACCAGACAAGTGCGGCAAAGACAACGGTATGGTTCCAAAACCCTGCACTTACTCCTACTCCGGATGCAAGCTAAAAGGCAGCAAACTCAACTTCAAAACAGTGTCGAATGATATGATACAGATGGGTGAATGTTGGGCTAACACGCGTGTCTTGGGTCAGCGAGTGGCCTTTTTCGTTCCTGTGAGTCCAAGCGTGAAAAACTACGGTTCCGAGGGAGGGCCGTACGGCTCGTGCCACGCTTATGCCGGTTGCCCAACGGCGGATGAGTTGGAAGCATCGGATAATCCGGCCGAATTTTGCTTCATCTGGGAAACTAACCCTAACGGCGGCGGTAATAAAAAGAAAGGCAATAATGGCACTGACACGTGCAACCCGAAATGTCCGGGTTCGCCAGACCTCCCGATGCCGATCGTCTGTCCTAGCACGCTGAAATGTTGTTATTCCGCCGATTGGTACGAAAAGGGCGGTAAGTTAGAAAAATACGGTAATCTCGTGCCCACCTACAAAGGCGTCTGGTTCCCACTCAAGGGCCGCAAGGACCACAAGCCATTATTCTGTCCAGGGCTCAACTTAGGTTGCCCTACGCCGACTTATCGTGACCTGCAACTCCATCATTTGGAAGAGAGAAAATGTGATGTGAGCAAATGTAAAGGTGGGGGTAGTCCGGCATAATAGCACGGATCCAAACAATGATGATAAAAAGAGGAGCCGTGGGTTAAATTATTTGCAGTTCGATAGGTCTGATTGACTTCCTGCATCGATCCTATAATGTAGGTAGGTATTTCTTTTTCCTCCTTGTCCTCTTATCTATTTCTGTTCATTTAGTCGTAGAGAATTGTGAAACAATGTGCATCCTTTGAATAATTACCATTTTCCGAAAACGATTCTGGATTAATCAAATCTGAAATGTCAGAGATTTCTCAAAGAAATTACGAAAATGTCGGCAACTTAATACGTATAAAACCAATGATTTCGTTATTTCAATGAGGAACTAAGCCGTAGTGGGGGTGCTAGGCGTGGATTTCCAAAAGTACGTTAGAAATCGGCAGTTCTCTCCTTGTAGAAAAACAGTCATTATTCAGTCATTATTATTTTTATTTTTCCCAACTTACATGGTTAAAAAAAGTGGCCGGGTTACATTCTCATTGTTTTAAAACTCTTGCGTTCTGATCATACCGCATTATTTAAAGGAACTCTTCATCAGAGAAGCTTTTTTCCCCCTTTGGCATGAGTGACTGCCTGAGGTGATTCGGCACCCCTATTTTGTGGGTTTAATCTTAGAATTACCACCCTAATTTGTTTTCGGTGTATTAATTTCTCTTTCTTTCTTTCTTTCTTTTTTTCTTTTTTTCAGATATTTTTCTTCTCTGTTAATTTTTTGCCATTCTGTTCTCAAAATGTACACTTTTAATTACCAACAGAATACAATTTTAAAAATAACCTTTGTTTCATTGTTGCATTAATTTACTGTTATACTAGAAGTCAGCCAGTGGCGTAACGGACTTCCGCTGGGCCCCCCCGCAAAAAATGTTTCTAGAGCATCAAAGAGAGAGAAAGAGAGAGAAAAAAAATTCCGGCGGCCGAGGGCCCCCTAGGCGCCTGGGCCCCCCGCATAGCAGGGTCTGCGGGGGCGCCCGTTACGCCACTGAAGTCAGCAAAAGATGCATTGACCTAGGGAGGAGAGGATTGACTTTCCTTACTTTTACGAGTGCGTTCAAGTATTACGTCAGTCTATTTCCTACCCCTTTCTTATTATATGAACAAAAAGCCATTAGACCGATTCACTCCCATAAATTCTGGACACTCCTCTCCTCTCGTTGCAAATGCAACTCTGGGCCAAACCCTCATATACATAACCTTTTTGAAAACATGTCAAGAAACATCTTTAAATCGTTAAAAATCTTATTTTCAAAATCCACGGAAAGCACATCAAATTCATCGAATGCTAGACTCTCACGGAGAGTCTGTAGATCGTATTCGATGGTGGTTTGATGTACCGTTTGGTTCAAAACAATAGACCATGACTTCGAACAGAAATTTTAGGAATCCAGTTGGAAAAGCCAAAAATAAGAAAATTCCTGATTTCACTTTTCATTGCAATTTTGACTCATAACAGTTAAAAAACCTATCACTAAAAACCCGTTCCCTCAGATTACTCAATTGACTTTTGAGGCTATGTTTACGTGTTGAACCAATCGGTATTGATACAATCTCACCTGTTCGATGTATTGAATACGATCTATTTTAAACTTCAGATGCGGGCATCTTATGTAAATCTAAAAATAAGTTAATTTTTCTTGGACTGTTTTACTGTTGTATCACCCTCTGTTAAAGCGAAGTAGATATTGCAGCTCCGACTTTTAAAACATGTTTTACCTTGCCCCTTGAGTATGAGATTGAGTTTCTCACCATAAACGATCGGTTCAGAATCATTGCTAAGTACAAGCAGTGTTTCCAAATTCAGCTAATCCTACATTTTTCCGAAGAACTTCTCTGGCTTTCAAGGAAAACATTTCACAAGTTTTCTCCAAAAAATCGTATTTCCTCAAATAAAATTTGGCAACAAACGGAAATTTACATACATCTCCGTTTTCGTCGACGGATTGGGAAGAAACTTGGTTTTCAGAGGTTTGGTGAAGCATCTAGACCCGTGACTGAAGTCACGGGCTCTCCGCTAGTTACTTAATAACTGCTGTCCAAAAGGAAACATTGAATACCTGATACTATATTTTTTTAAACTTATTTATTGCCACGACGCTGATGGGACGGTGTCACATGCAATTCTGTCGTCCTTATAGGAATTTACTGTATGAACCTCCAAGAGTTGCAAACATTTTTTTTATGAAATACGAGTTCACACGGAAATTTGTGAAGGTTTTTCTTTCAATTTTTCAGAGTGTTTTGTATACAATTTAACCGAAAGTATTTGAAAACTTTACGGACACATGATAATAACTTTCCTCAAAAATAAGTTCTTAATCCGCAAAAATATGGCAACACTCAAATGCCTACAAAGTGTTTTTCCTTAGCTTGCCAGTATTTGCCTCTGATTAGAGAGCGTTGCGGCAACATGTTCAAGTACCTAATTCAAGTCCATGGCCCTCTCTGACACAATCGCCCGGGAACTGTTCCAAAAAAGTTTTGTGGAGTAAGTTGTTATACGTTTTTATGGCTGTTGAATTTCAAGCCCGTCGGAGTAATTAGGCGCTTTCTATTTTTCACATTGCCCAGAACACGCCGTTAATCACTAGAACATATGACAAATAGCGCAATCGTAAATTGTCCGCTTGTTGAGAGTGGATACGCGATTACTAAACTGCCCACCATCATCGTCATAACGAATCTATTAGTTTTATTCTATTCGGTAACAAACGAAACATTGACGTGAGAATCAGATCAATGAAAGTTTCACGGGTTCACTGGAAAGAAAAGTCGCTTGGATCTAGACTTCTACAGTCCAGACTCTTTAAAACATTGACAAGGAAAAATACTCTTGATTCAATCGGATTTTTACTTGGATCAAAGGGAACTTTGCTTAAATTAAGAGAATTGGTTCTTGATTTAAGCAAAAATCTGTTTGAATCAAGAGTATTTTTTCTTGTCATCGTTTTCAAGAGTCTGGACTCCGGCCAGACTCCGTCCCTAGAATACACTGTCTCTATAGAATACACGATTTAGTTACCGAGAAGCAAATGCACTGGTCATCGGAGAGAACGCGAAATCCCTCGCATCTCGCAAGAACCACCTGGTTGCGAGATGTGTCGAATTATTCGGTTGCCCAGGGCAAAACGCCGAGTTGCGTCGTTTTTTGGATGGCTTGCCGCCACCACGACATCGGATGCTGTTTTTGATGCGCGGATTACATAAAAACTCAACTAATGTTACATAACAAGTAGATCAGAGCAAGAAAAAACTCGGGAGTTATACGCTTAATCATCGTGTTATTCGTACGTAAATGCATTTTTTTGCCCGGCTCAACGCGACGTGTCGGTCACTGCCCGTTCCGACCGCAACGGTTCGGTTCCGTAGCTTTCAATTTCGTGGATCGATATCGGTGAAAGTTGATTCTCTAAATAAATACTGCCTCGGCCCCGGCCCTATGCCGATCTGCCGTTCCTTTTTTTTTCTTTCTTTTTTTCTTTTTTGATTGGCATGTGACGGTGGCTGTGCCCACTGAAATGATAAATGAAAATCTGCTGCTGTCTTTGGACAGTTTAATCAGCCCCGATGCGTTGATTATGGTCAACGAGCTCTGACCACCGTTGCGCCGCCGCTGCCCTTGATCACCGAGTGTCACCAACAATCACAGCTATGTCACCGTACCACCAATTATTTTTTAATTAACTTATGCTCCGCGGTTCTTCCCTTTAATTCGTATCTTCCCACGATTGTCAACAGTTTCACTCACAATTAGCTGAAACTCAGCCGAGAGACCAGGTGTGAACTGAGGTAATTTCTTTGTGTTCTGATTTCAATTTAAAACCTTTCGATGAAAAAAATGAACATTACTACTAGCCTTGGAACAATTCAAAAACAAATTGAAACGGGGTGTTCTAGGATGGCTCCTAATTGACTCATAGGCTCCTTAAAATTGGTGATATGAGTATGATCTAAACCGATCGTTATAAACCGAAAAAGATTTGACGAATTCAATTACTTCCAAAAATATTTTTTTGAGAAACGTTTCAGAAATGTTAACAGAGATGTGTTTCAGTGGCACATTTTGAAACACAATTCTTAAACATAGTGTGCTAATTTTTAAGATAATAATTCTTAGGTGTAAACAGTATACATCACTTTATTCCTCGGATGATCCTCGTATAAAATGGAGGGAGGGTTAAAAAATAGCGAGTTTCAGAATAAAATTTAAAAAAATTCTCTCCACAGAGCAGAGCCTTTTTTTGCCGTTAGGCGGATTTCTTAAAACGTAAGCGAAGCGCGGACCAACAGCAGCTCAGCGGCTCGACTCGGCCCGGACGGATCGTGATCCATTTAACGCTCCTTCAAAAAATGCAAATGCAACACATCAACCATACTGCGAAAATTACCAAGAACTCTCTCGTTTAGACAACTGATTCAACTACCAAAAGAAAGTCGCTTGAAAGAAGACTTGAAAGTCTCTTGAAAGAAGACTTATATTGTTACTTTTTCTTATTCAAAACATTTCCTTGACATACCGATATGAAAATTCTTCGAAACCGAATCTCAACCTTTGCGGTGTATCCAATTTCCAGCGAATCAATCATCGGTGATTCATAAATAGAGATGATCAAAAATATAGCAAAATGAGCTTTAAGGCGATTAGGCGTCGTAAAGCGCCAAAGAGCGCTGTAAAAGCGACTCATATGTATGTATCAAAAATATATTATTTTGCCTCAAAAGAGCACTGCGAAAAAAATTTCTTGGATTTGCAGTCAATAAAATCTTTTCATAATGTTTTTAAAAAAAAATAGTTGTTTTCGAAACTTTATAATTTTGACTGAATGTATATGTCCGCTAATAATGCCACGGATTAAGTTTTTATTCAAAAAATTCTCATTTCAGGTTATAGGTCTGTAAATTAAAAAGTGCTTCAAATACACAAAATTTAGGTAATTTTTTTCCTCACCGAAAAATCTGTTGTAATTATTTGCTATAGGGTGACATCGTTCCAACAGAATTATTCGCTTTCCCGCCTTATTCGTGTGAAATTCCGACTTTGGACCAGAGTAGAATAAATCAACGTGTGTATCAACTTGCTCTTGAAAATTTCAGCACACACATACGCAAACGCCCCCTCATACGTGAGCGTACACAAACCATGCTAAAAAATCACGAGAGTGATGCTTATAACGCATACCGCATAACGCCCGAGGCGCAAAATATTTCGGGAGTTACACCGCGAAACGGTCAGGGAGTGCAGCGACTGCAGCCCCCCCCCCCCCCCCCATAATTACATTAAAATAAAAATTCGTACTACTTGCTCTCAAATAATACTCAATCTTAGCGAGAAAAAAACATTTTTGTCATAAAAAATATAAAAATAATTTCTTTCAGGATCAAATAGATTTTCCCCCATTTCATTAAGGGCTCTTTCTGGAACTCTCTCCCTTACTTTGACTCCTAAGGTTACTCTTTAGATTACCTGCAAGTGGATATTGTGGACTATCAAATAAGGTAAAATTCCATAGGATTTCGATTCGTAAGCATTGAAATGAACACACGCAATCTTACACAAATAATTATATACTTGATCAAAGAAGATGAGGGTAAAACTAACTCCTCATCAGTAGGAACTGATTAACACGTGTTGTTAAATTAGGAAGATGACATTTTCAGGTGAGATTAGGTGAAACTATCTATTTCCACCCCTATTAAGTGAACTATCCCAAGTGGCGTGCGCTGACTAATATGCCGCCACCAACGTACAAATTTTACATAGTTGGGTGACTTAGAATTTT